CAGATTTAAAAGTTCGCTAGTTTCTATTAGAAAACACTACTATAATTGAATACATGTGTTTTGAAGTTTGACCTAACCTTAGAAAGTGTGGGACAATTTTGAAAAGAAATTGATTAAAAAGAAATTGAATTTTTAATGAAACAACACTTTTGATGAAAAATATGCTGCTAATACAAATAAATGAGCATCAAAGAGAATAAACGAGGTGGACGTTCATAACAAGTGTTTAGGGTCACAAAATGATTTTGGATGATAGTAAAATGAAGTTTTTATTGATAGCTGACACTCTGAAGGTATCAAACGAATGCGTGGAACTTATCGTTCTTGAATATTTGGGTGAGTCCTGCGAGAGCGCAAACCAATAACTCATTGATGATACTTCGATATGAGACAATGGATGAAACATGGATTCATAATTACGTGTTTTTCCTTGTTCAGCCACAAAAAAATCCCAGCTGTACAATTTAGTGGCAGTGAAGAAGTAATCATCCAGACTGAGGTCAACTTTCAAGCAAAAGCCCAATGGTGTTACAAAAATAGTATCGAAAAGTTGGAAGAATACTATAATCGGTATCGTTCTGATGGTCGAGGGGGCTCTAGGACTTTGGAAATGATAGATAGGATTCGAAAAATTTTTGTTATTTGGAGATAATTCTGTACCAGCAGTTGTTGATTAAAATATGGAATAACACTATTATATTATTTTTCTGATATAGAGGAACATTTTCTTCTCTAAAGTTGAATAATATGGGAAAATAGTTTGAAAACAGTAGTTAAATATAATTATTATGATTTTCAAATATATTTGGAGAAACGTAATAAACAATATTAAAATTTTACGGTATTGCGCTAAAGATGACATGATTCTCAAAGAATATGTGTATTTTGTTTGCTCCCTAAAACGCAACGTATTTGAGCAAAACGATTCAGAAGGATATGATTGAAACTTGCCACAAGTTGATAAGACAGTAGATCGTAGTCAAAAAAGCTGAAGGAATTTCATTTCATAGACTTAGTTTGGCTGTTTACGCAGCTTGAGATGTATTTGGTATAAAGAATGCATTAAGAACTATCGAGGCAGTTGAACTCTTGTATCATTTTTTATGGTATACCCGTATTCCTCATTTACAAATGCGATTTGAATAACGTAAATCAATTTTTCAGAGCTTTGAACCATTATTCTTCAAACATGATTTCGATGAGGAAAAGTATGCAAAATTTATGACAAATTTTGTATGGTTCTTAGCCATTGTTTATTTGTGAAGTCAAAATGAGGAGAAAACGGATCTGCAGTCGAAATATCTGCATCAGAGCCAGGGGTATGGAAGGCACTTAAACTGAAAAACGAATTTTTTTTTCATTTAATGAAGTGATTGAATTTCACCAAGTACCAATTACTTAACCCACCCGTCTAAGACGGAATAATCAATGAAATAATAGGTGATTATTCTGCAGACTTAAACATAATCAAATAATGGTAATAATTAATTACCAACTAACTGTACCTCACCAAGTATTTACGCGTGTCTGTTATTTAACTACCATACTATTACTAATAATAATAAAGTCATGAAATCTGAATTTAGCTTTAAATGAAGTTATAAATCAATGTGTTACTATAAATAAAAATATCAGAATGCAAGTGAAGCGTCACGAAACCAGAAACTCAGGACCGACATCATATCGAACGAAGTAATAATAAATATTGGCGATATCACACGCAGGCACAGATACCGGTATTGGACTGCATATACTCGTAGTATAGATGTAATGCTCACGGTGGCTTCAAATATACTGATTTTTATGAAAAACTCAATACTAAGTTATAGTCTTTATGGGCTTTTACAGCAAATAGCAAATAGCGATTCATTCTAATTTTGATACACAGGCATACTATTATAAGAAAAGTATTTTCTCCAAATATAATATATCTCACAGATTGAGCGATATTTTCGATAAAACGTTCGCAATAAGGATTGGGGTCAATATATTCGGTACCTAAGAGCTTGAATGTTTTTGGTCCGATTTGGACAATTTTTAGTCATAAGGTGGCATACTTCAAGGACACTATTCGTGCAAAGTTTTATTCATTGCTGCTTGATTTATATACTAGAAAGTGAAAGAATCAGTTGGAATTTAAAATTTTGTTATATATATATATATAATACATATTCGACAGATTAAAGTTACATATTTTAGCTTTATATTGAGTCTGGGCTTTTTAATAAGAGTGATATGATTTAAAAAAACACACTAATTATTAAGGAAATGCAAATGTTTTTTATTTTTTGTAAAGTACAATCGATAAAATTAAGTTCTGAATATAACATCATTCCACGACTTCTTTTGCCGGAACTATGTCATGTTCAATATTGACTTCGAATTTCCAAACATTTCTCGCTATAATTCGGTTGTTGCAAGTGCTATTTGGCACGTAGCCCCATATTGTTGGAACCAGATGTTGCCAAGATCAACTTCTTCCAATTGCGGCCAAAAAAGTTGGTTATCATCGATCTATACCACTTGCTTGCTTCATTTCGAAAGAAGTACGGACCGATGATTACTCCAGACCAAAAACCACACCAAACTGTCAATTTAGGTGAATGTAATGGTTGTTCATGAATAATTTGTGTAGTTTTTTGCACCAGAATCGACAGTTTTGTTTATTTACCGCACCACTCAGATGAAAGTGAGCATCATCGGAGAAGATGAAAAATAGTTATCGTTTTCAAGTTGTTCCAAGGCAAAATCAGCAAATTCACGACGTTTATGGTGGTCTTCAGCAACACTTGCCTGAACGGCAGCAATATTTTCACTACTTCCAGCGGTTTTTTGTCTTATTGGCACTGGAACATTATGTACGCTTGAAATTTTCAACAATTCGACGAATAGCACACAGCACAGGTGGACAATTATTACGAACATAAAATGGCAAAGGCGCACAAAATGTTACAATTGGAGAACTATTATTTTTATACTCTCGCGACCTGTTGCTACAGAGTATAATAGTTTTGTTCACCTAACGGTTGTTTGTATCACCTAAAACTAATCGAGTTAGATATAGGGTTATGTATATATAAATGATCAGGATGAAGAGACGAGTTGAAATCCGGGTGACTGTCTGTCCGTCCGTTCGTCCGTCCGTGCAAGCTTTAACTTGAGTAAAAATTGAGATATCTTTATGAAACTTGGTAGACATGTTTCTTGGTACCGTGAGACGGTTGGTATTGCAGATGGGCGTAATCGGACCACTGCCACGCCCACAAAACGCCATTATTCAAAAACAAATAAATTGCTATAACTAAGCTCCTCAGGTATACAGGATCACAATAGGGAGGGGCTTCTGCAGTTAAAATTTTTTTTTAAAGTGGGCGTGGTCCCGCCTCTAATAGGTTTAATGTGCATATCTCCTAAACCGCTAATGCTATAATAAATGGGTGAAATCGGGTGGAAACTCCGCCCATTCCCCATATAACGGTACTGTTAAAAACTACTAAAAGCGCGATAAATCAAGCACTAAACACGCCAGAGACATTAAATTTTATCGATGGGTTGGTATGAGATGACTTTATAGGAACCGCGGCACCGCCCACTTTTAGGTGAAAACTCATATCTTGGGATCTGCTAAACTGATTTCAACCAAATTCGGTGCATAACGTTCTTTTCATATTTCTCTATTATAGTGCGAAAATGGACGAAATCGGACAACAACCACGCCTTTTCCCATATAATACCATTTTCAATTCCATCTGATTCTTTCACTTTCCAGTATGCATATCAAGCAACATTAAACATTACTAAATACAATGAAAAAAATTACAGATCATAACATATTAAAAATGAAAGAAACGACTTATAAATCATATCATCCCTATTGGAAAACTTGATATATTCGTGTGGTTTTATTTTTTAAAGAATTTGAATTGAATGTTTATTTAAGAAAAATATATACAATAGTATTATTGAGTGAATTGCCCATCTCAAGCTATATCATTTTCCTATCTTTCTGGCAATTTTTGGAGTCCATCCCAAAAGAGCTTGGCGGCCAAGAATGAATCAAGACAATTCTTGATACCCTGTTCTGATGTGTACCGTAGAGGAATACACATCCAACGGAAGAAATGGTAGTGGGAAAGGGCCAAGTTTGGGCTATAAGGCAGGTGAGATAAAACTTCCCAACCATTGATTTCCAAATAGATTTTAATCGGTTTTGGAATAAGCGAGCGTTGTCATGGTTCTCGTGTCTAATCGCGAATTCCGGGCGTTACTCTGTAATAGTTCGCTTCAATTTAATGAGTTGTTGTCGGTAGCATGTCTTATTATGTTAATGTCATAATACAATACGCCTTTCTGACCCCACTCAATACAGAGCTTTACCTTCGCGTGATAGATATTCGGCTTTGCAGTTGATTATACTGGTTGGTCAGGTTTTTCATTTTACTTTTTTCCTTATGTGGTTGTCGTATTGGACCTTTTGTCATCATCAGTCACAAACCAATGCGAATTCATTTGTAGCGGTTAAACAGCATTTCTGAAATGAAAAGTTGTCTTTTCACATCTCTTGGCTTCAACTTATATCGCACTCAATTTCATTGCTTTTGATTATAACCGTTAGCTTTTAAATGTTTTGGAATGGTTCTGCGAGCTTTTCTTGTGTTTGGCAGCAATATTTATCGATATAATGCTTCCAAATTATCATCTGCAAATTTTTTATGGCCATTCAGGACGTTCTTCGTCTTTCAAGTTGAAATCACCACATTTAAACCGTTAAAACCGCTTTTTCATTAACCATAAACTCTTATCAAAATACGATGCTTTTCGGCTAAGGTTTTCTTTATATTAAAGTATTGAATAAGAACTCCCTGAAAAAGCAATTATTCAGGCACAAAGTCTTACATATTCTATCACTTTCTAAGGCAAGTTCGAAACATTAGAACAATGGAATAAAAATCAAATTACGCCTTCTCTTGACAAACATAACTTAATTCAGTATTTTTGACGAATTATGAAAGTTGCCTTTAATCTTCCCATTCACTCATTTTCATGAAAGCATTTCGAATAAATAAATTATAAGACATATGTCATGCAAAATTTCGGGGCTAAACAATTTTAAATAATGCTCTTTGTATTGAATAAAACCTCAAACCTCCAATTCACATACAAACTTACATACCAGGTTGCAGAATTAGCGAGAATAACGAGAGCATTTCTCACCTCTGCGAGTATTCGCGGCACTTACTTCCGCATATACATACCTATATATATCGCCATGATGTTAACTGGCGATAAATATTTGCATGCCATTAATAACAAACAGCATATCCGACATATCCGCAATGTTCTAAACCAGCAACCAAATGGGAAGAATGAGCAAAATTTAATCGAATAACACTTTCCAAAGGCAATTGAAGGCAAATATGAGACGAATTGTAAGTGGAAATGCGAAGCAATTGAAATAATTAATACAAATTTAAATATAATATAATTTATTTCAGATACTGAACGCTTGGAGTCTGTTTCTTTTATTAAACGTTCTTAATGCCAAATTATCAATTTACGTTGCTGTCGCAACTCCACCTCCCGAGAGTCAAACCATTAAACAGATACACAACAGATCAGAACAAATAGACATGGTAAAATTTTTTACTATGGAACAGCAAATAAATTTTGACAGATTGGAAGCTCTTCATACTGCTCAAAACAATGTACGAGCTAAGCGAAATGATGTTGCACACAACAAAAGCACTTCTACGAAAATTAGAAAAGATCAGTCAAAACGGCGTCGTAAGACCTTTTTTGTGCCGGTTATATGTGGCTAATGTTTTAATGGGTTTATTTGTAGTTTAATCGAAAGCTAAGGTTTATTTAATGGAATTCGGCAGCAGTAAACGATCTGTTTAAATTCTCAAAAATGTCTGTAATTAAAATAATAAAAATGATATATACTTTTATGAAAAATCCATATTTATTGTATATAAATTTAAATATTGTAAAAGTTAATGTTTTGTTTTGATTTCTTAAGAATTTAAATAAAGTTTACCGTTCACTATTCTACTTTCAAAATAATTGTAAAACTTTATAACGGTATTGCTACATAGGTATGTATGTACTTGAACATAGGTCTTGAAAAATTTGAAAACACTTGGTTTTAAAAAGATGTGACGTTTGAAGTACATTTTAATATTCCAAGTATATAAAATTTTGGGGGTTTAAATCATAAAATGCTTCTAACTTAGAAGTAATATTAAAATCTTATATAGATTATAACAAACACTATAAATAATAAGGTACGAAGGGCCAAGTTCAGGTGTAACGGAAGATTTTGCATGAATCAAGTTGGGAAAATGCTTTCAAGTTTTGGCAATATAGTGGTCCGATCTGAACAATTCGTTCGGAGATTGTAGCGTTACTTCGAACAGTAATCGGTGCCCACTTTCGTGAGGATGTCTTGTCAAATAAAAAGTGTTTCAATTGAAGGTGAATTTGTATGGCTGTTATGGCCTATATTATTTCGATATAGGCGGTTCCGACAAATACGAACCAAAAAAGGGCAAGTGAAAAATTGCAAAGGACAATCTCAAAAACCTTGCGTAGATATAGACGGTATGTACAAGGAGGTGGCAAAAGGATTCCTCCTCGGCAAATTTAGGCGATATAGCTGTAGTGGTTTCTGAGGTATGTACATTAATAGCGAGCGTGGCCATGCCTACTTTTTGAAAATTTTCAGATGTTCATCATTTTTACAATCCCCTGTAAGAAATTACAGTTTTATGTCTTAATTTGGAGCTTAGTTATGGCACTTTATTAGTTTTCGATTAAGGGCATTTTATGGGCGTGACAATGGTCTTATTCCGATCATAGCAATACAAGCATCCAAAAAGTGACAAAGAATACATGTACCAAGTTCCGTTAAGATATCTCAGTTTTACTTAAGTTATTGCTTGTACGGACAGACAGTCAACCGCATTTCAACTCGTCTCGGCATTTTGAGCATTTATATATATAATTCTTTCTAGCTCGATTAGTTTTAGTTGTAAAAAACAACTTTTAAGTGAACAAATTTGTTTTTGTTGTGAGATTATATTGTAAAATTCAACAAATTACGACTATACGAGTGTAACAGATGTTGATGGTTTGCCTCTTTGTTAATATGTTGCTTAAAATTTCCCATTGGGTTAAAACATTATTTAAGCTGATCTGACTGCAAAAACTTAATGACCAAACTAGTTGCTGTATTGAACTTAAATCTTATACATAAAAATTAGTGAAATCATAAACACGGTTCCAAAACTAAAAACATCAATTTCTATATTTAATTAATGTCAATGGCCGATATAGTCTATGAAAAAAAATTTACACAGTAATAATATTTTTGGTGTTTGGTCAGCATCTCGGTTTTATTGCAACTAAGAGATTTGATCAATGTGCTATATATATATAAAGCCTGAAATTTATTTACAAACAGTTCATAACCAATCGCCAATCAATCAAACAAAGATGTTTAAATATACGAATTTGACGGTGAGTGTTTTTGAAAAATTTTGTTGTAAGGAAATAACTATTAATGAAATTCTGCGCATTCTTAGCTCACATTTTTGGTGATATTCTGCCTCTTATTAGCTGCACTGTTAGTTCAAAGTAAATACGTCTCCTCGGTTCGACCAGTATCTATAAATATAGGCGAAAATACTACGGAAAATGTTGCAGCCATTGCTGATTCCCTTGCGCCGAGTTGTGCACGTCGGGTACTTTTGGGTGCAAGATGGCTCGGACAAAGTGACCATTGTGAAAAATAAGCATTTAAAGCGCACCTTAAAAGACTATCGTCGCAAAGTGCATGGTGAAGAGAAACAACCAGGCGAGAGATATCGGCCACAATACGAGGAGCGCCGTGAAGAGTACGTTGAGGATGAAGAGGTGCAACAACATACGCAATTACGCCAAACCTTTTTGGTTAAATAAGTGCAACAATAATTTTGTGCGTTTTCATATTTTAATTTAGTTTTGTTTCAGTTATGTTTATCATATTAAAAAACAAAAAAAAACACAATTTAATTGAAATAATTTTTGGTCTTCCTCAAAATGCTTATAATGTAACCTTCAGGGTTTAAAGTCTTTTGTAAACTGTGAATGGATTACAGTAATATTGGGTGTCTTAATAACTTAAGCTATATATCATATATTCACAAACTTCTATTGAGATATATCGGATATAAACTAACTAACTTTAGTATATTATACGTAAGAGGAAAAAGTAAACTGGAGGTCGGGTTATTATCATATTAGGGGTATATAAACCTTAGACTAAAGTCTGAACCTATTTCATTCGGAGCTAAACGATTGTACATAATTGTTAAAAAAGCAGATCCATTTAATTTCTCTCAACTATCACAAATATTGTCCCATAATATTATAAAAAACAGTTTAAAGACAACTTGAAATTAAAAATTACTAAATCAAGGTATATTGGGGATAGGGGAAAGTTTGGATTGATTGCATAGAGTCCACTAAAATAACGATATAGGGGCTGCTTATTCGTGGATCGATTTTACCAATTTTCGGCACCAAACTATAATATATCTAAAGACATCTTACATATTGACCGATTTATACGGTATAGAGTTATATATTAAAGAAATATTGATGTGATTTTATTCACAAGGGTATATTTATATGGGAAAAATGCTCTCTAAATTTCAAGAAGATATGGTCCGATTTTATTTCCATTCATTACCAGATTATTATTATATATCGAACTTGTTTCAGACCTGATATATAGGATTTAATCTATAAATTATATATAACGTATCGATTCTATAAGAGGCAACTACTAAAATTAAATCCAATGGTCTAACCATAAAAAGATGTGAGCCGAAATTGTAAAGAATAAAAAAGAATAACGAATAAATATTAAGTTTTTTAAGTGTTTAAGTAAAAGCTTTAGCGGTAAAAATAATTATTAATTTGGTTTACCCCAAAAAATAAATATAATAATTTTATATAATAATAATATACTATATACTAATATAGAGTTGTGCAAAGAATATTTGAATATTTACTTATAAATTATATAATAATTAAGTGTTTCTATATAATATTTTAATTTCATTTCAATCGCCATTATTCTACTATATTTTAGCGATGAATCGTTATCGACGATATTGCATAGTTCATTCGATATCGTATCGATTATTTTTTGAGATTGATATATGGGAAAGGGAGAACTCGTGGAATGGTCATTCTGATTCTTCGTGAAACTTCGTACGTGTTTCGCATTGCATTTGTACCTTGTGTCGACTGCTCAGAAGACTAGATATCGTTTTATAAGCAAAAAGTGCATATGCAAAAAGTTTTGTTCAGTTGAAAAGTAATTATAATTTAATGCACAATTGACGTAGTGCATTATATTAACAATAAAAAAATACACTCTGGTAGCACAAATTATTTTTATGTTTCTCATCCCTTTTTTAACATGCTTCAAAATTTGAACAGAAAACACTCCTGAAATTTGTTACTGCGTGCGCCGCTGACAGCGACCCAAAAATAAAGCTGGACACTTGTTATGAAAGGGTTCCAAGCTTTATAACTTGAGAACGACTCAACCAATTTTAAAAAGACAAAATTCAAAATAACGATATTCAGTTCTCTATTTTATTATACAAAACAAAATTTTAAAATAATTTTTAATTACACAAACTTATTCATCTCACCATGAACTAAATTTCATAACTCAAACAAAAATTGGACAACAATCAAATGAAAGAAATGATATTGTAGTACTTTATACAGCAACCCTTTCAGTTATTACTGATATCGCTGCATGAAGTCTACCAGCTGTTTTTTGACTTTTTGGAAAGTTTGCCCAGATTTCTCCGATGGCTACTGTCGACGTGTTCGACCCGAATATCGCGAATATGGAAGTTGGCGTTTATTGCACGATAATGCGCCGTCTCATCGATCGACGCTTGTGGCCTATTATTTGACCAAAAATCACATTTTAACAATCAACCACACCCCGTATTCAGCTAATATGGCCCCGTGCGACTTATACCTTTTCGGAAAAATGCATTTGCCGATGAAAGGAAAGCGTTATGCAGACGTGGAGGCCATTCAAAAGGCTTGCACCGGCACACTGGCGGCCATGCCGGGCAACGAGCTAAAACACTCGTTCGACATGCTTTTGGACCGTGCTGTATTAAAGCAGAAGGAGACTATTTTGAATAAAAATAATTGATTTTGCCGATAAAACCATTTTTTCTGTCTTTTTTTTTAAAGTCCTGTTTACTTTGGAACGCACCTTGATAGTATATCAAATATTATATGATAATTTTGCTACAATATCCTACATATTGCCCTTATAAAGCCAACCGGAAGTTTGAATTATATTAGGTATATGGGAGATAGGGATAATATTGACTCGATTTTATCTAGTTTTGGTATTACTATATATTATTAACAGGAAAAATGCTCTATGAGTTTCATTAAGGGGGAATAGTGTTTTAAAATTTTGAATGAGTGCATAACATCTCAAGAATGTTGTGTCTAATTGCAAGTCAATCAGAGGAAAATTGACGAAGTTATGACTATTTTTACACCTGTCTTCTGAACGTTTCACATCGGAACTCAACTGTTTCGTCGAAAGTCGACGCCATCTGGAACATCTAACATCACAACTGCTGCAACGATTGTTTTGAAATTTTGAACACTATTTCCGTATATAATTTACTAGATAATGCTAGAAAAGTTTTTTCAAATTTCTTAATATTTTCATTTTATCATAAAAAACTAAATGATTTTTTTTCGCCAAAAATTGCGTTGTTTCCTTTAAAGTGTTTCCAAAAAGTGAAATTTAAAATTTCGAAAACCTCCCTCCAGTGTAACCTGGGCAAAGCGATTATCTAACGATATGATTTTGATTTTTTGATGCTCCTTATTCC